TTAGCTTGTGGCCCGACTGAGGCCACATTCTTATGCCTGTGTTGTTTTAGCACTCTTTACTTCAATTTAGCTTGTGGTCCGACGGAGAGCACATTCTATATACCTGGGTTGAAGTAGTACTCTTTACTCAGTTTAATTTATCTTGTCCTGTATAAGGGTGTGACAAGGTTCAGGTGTTCAGCCCGATCGAAGAAATACTTTGTACCAAACCACAAGGCTTCTAATTCAAAACAAACGTATTTTTCTGGCCCTGGTCAGCTTAGCTCAGATCTAACCCGAGAAAGCGCACAAACAAGATAGTCACAATGATTGCCATGTTATGTTTTATCGATTGAGGGATTTCCTTGCAGGATATTAATGGTTTAATGATGCACAATTTGATAATGTGTAATCAATGCTAATCCACTCAAGTTCCCAGATATATATTTTTTGTCAGGTATAAATTTCCAAACTATGATTTCATGCATGGCATCCTCGTGTTAAGGGAATTACAAAAAACGAACTACGGTGAAGTTTTGGAAAAAGATACACTCAACCGCTGTTCATCCTCAGCGCTGAAAAATAAAAGAAAGTAATTATTTCAGTAACGGATTTGAACCCCTGACCCCAAGACGTACGGTGGACTATACTGAGACTGTCAAACTGTTTAACAATTATGGCTACAGACGCCTTATAAATAATTCAATCCAAAAACAAAATGGTTGTTTTAAAGTCAATGATACAGAAATGATGTCTCCTAAATTTCAGACCAAAAGCTTTAATTCTCAAGCTACGCAAATTCTTTGTTTGATTACAAAGCATGAATGGGAACGCTATACACCGTATTCATAAATGGCAGCCGCGCGGAACGGCCTGGTTTCGAAAACATGAAAACGAGGCTTGGTAGGCCACGCATCACAGATCACAACATAAATGGCTTCTTCTAGTCGAGATTCTGACGCAGTTACCTCACCGAAGACGATATTCCCGGAGCTTCTGTAGCTGGAAGAAACCCTTCTTCACTAAAGAATGAAGAACTCCGGTTTTGGTTGCGATGTCGAGGCGATTCGCTAAAGGGACTTAAGAGGAAGGCACAGCTCATAAAGCGGTAAGCATCAAAACACAGAAACCGATCGAAGCACGTGCTCGCATCTTTGTGATCTGAGAACACACGAAATTTTGTTTCCGTAGTATTTAGAATTCTCTCTTTTTTTGCAGAGTCGACGAGTATATTAAAAGTGGAAGGGGTAAAATGGTGATCGATCCCGATCCCGATGAAATCTACACAAAACGAAAAGCAAGGGTAACCCGAAAACACTGACCCGCGGTCCGCGGACCCCCACAACGGACCGGGTCCGCGGACCCCCACAACGGACCGGGTCCGCGGACTACCTATGGACCGGTCCACGGACTCCCCCTACGGACCCTCTCTACGGACCACCCCCCAAAATATAATAAAAATAATAAATAAATATTTCAGTCGCGTGTTGTCTAATAGATTACTCGTGACAGCGAAATTTCGAACGTTACCTGGATTCAGGCTCGGGTGCAATTTATATAATTACACATTGCCATTTCTTTTGCTGTGGCCATAAAGTATACGAAAGACACGTACGGGGAAGCCTCCAGGAAGCCTCGAAATTTGTGTT